CAATAAATTATGTGCCTGTAGGACAAACATATTCAAGCGTGTGTATATTGATTTTTTTGGCAGGCGACGATGATTGGCTGTTAGATGTAGAGTAAGAAACTATCCGCGAAACACGCATGCATCACGAAAAAGTGAATAGATATGTAATTTAATCTCAAGACTCTAGATAGCATACGTTGCATGTCAGGAAACAAAAAATCTGAATCAACAAACATTCGAAAAATTAAAGCAAAGCATAATAAAACTATTTTTATTCTTTCCAACTTAATTGAAATTAAAAAAAATGAAAATGAAGGGTATTACATATCACAGCCGAGTACACTTTTGAAAAAGTGTGGAGAACAGTAAAATGTAATATAGATATGGGCTAATTTTGTACATATCATTTGAGAAGAAATAAACAAAGTTAAAGGTTGGATTTCTCATCTTCAATAGTGACTAATTCGTGCATTTGGAAGTGATATTTTTAAGGAATCACCACTGGAGGAGTCATTTGGGATACGACTAACTACGTTGTCAAGATTATTATTATTATTCATTGCAGGATGACACGTGGAACCAACAGGCAATCGTGTATCCAACAGTAGGGTACCATTGGCATCTTTAACTCGTAGTCGTCCAGAACTGTAACGAGTTTCATGACGACCATCAGGAAAGACAGTTTTTGTTGTACCATCGGGATATATACGACACTGTGATAAACAAGAAAGGATTGACAGAAAACAGGAATACAACATTACAGATATTCTAATGATAAGACTGAACTGAAAATAGATTGAATAATAAATACCTCAGAAGTGCGTGATAGTGATAATTTGGTGTTGCTGAATTATGATTGGTGACCTTCAGATTGTGGGACGGATACACAATTTTAATTTTCATGGTGGAGAGTAATGTTTATTGTTTGTTAATAGGGCGAGGAAGATTAACGCACAAGTACACATGAAAGGAGAATAAACTTATGAATATTGCTAACGTGTGGTCAAGAATATTTTTACTTGGCAATAGAAAGATTTCCAGGATTGATTAATTACTTCAAGCGGTTTTGGCTGGTTATCATCACTACAGAATGGGAGACCCAGAGTAGGCACAAAACATTTGCCGAGTATCATGTTTTCATCTGACCAGTGTGAGGAATGTGTAAGGGCAGATGAAATAGAAGTGGATTCTCCAAATTGTTTCTTAAAGAATCAATAATTTACTCAAGTCACCCAGAAGACAAACACGAGCAAAACTGATGGAATGGTTGTCATGCTGTTACCAACAGCATCTACAGTTCGTATCCAGTGGGAATCAGTCTCGTTTAGGGTAATGACAGTAAGTTTCAATTCAAAAGAAGATTGGAATGCCAACCAGAAATTATTAGCCAAAAGAAAATCTCACAACGAACCACCCAAGAACCAATTGCAAAAGTAAATGAAAATGAATTGGAGACATGTTCAGCAGATTGTTGACTGAAAACATGAGGAGCCAGGTAAACCCTCGAGTGGAACCCGATTGGAAATTGATAGGTTTGGCGTATACTCCACAGCAACATAGAGGAGATCATGTGACTAGGAGGAAATAAAACCCTACAGGGCAATCGTAGAGCCAGCTAAAAAATGATGGAGATATGCTGTTGAAGCCCTGTGTTTCACTTGGAACCTAAAGGAACATAAATAATACTTCATTCGAATCTACGTAACTTACTTTAATTCCACAATTGGAATGAATTTCACGCTGACCATTAGGTAATAGTATCTCTTTATCACCATTACTTAACCTTCGGCATATTTGTTCATTTGGTAATGATTTCAGTGGATCAACGGCAGCTGTCGGAGGATTTATCTGCTGCAGTGTATGAGAATGTATAGTTTCTTGATGTCCACTAGAAAAAGAGAACAGCGAATGTCAGAGAGCGCAAAGAAATAAAGAAGGCAAATACACTTTACATACTAACCATTACAATTAGATATGAATAACAGATAGTCATTATAAGTGATACAGTTCAGTTGGCACTATGAAGGGGCTAATTAATAACTTAGTAACCATCATTATGAATTGCTTTCTTTAACTAGCTATTGTCTTTTAAATAATTTTTCAGGTTAGAATTAGGAAACTCATAATAAAAGTCTAGCCCTAATCGGGACATCTATCAACCAGATATACTTATGAAATTAAGAGGAATGGTACCTTCTCTAAGCATTCTGAATCAGGTATGAAGCACTCACGTTGAAAAACCACACACGAGCTTTTTTTAAGAACTAATGGTACTTCACAGTTGCGCCCCTCTCCAGGTTGAAGTAGGTGAGACTAGACCTCGAAAGTCCGTCAGCCATTTAATTGAAATTCAAGTGCTTCTGCAAATTAGTGACAATTTCAATAACATGAATCACAGATGTACCAGTTGAAATAAACGAAATGAAGATGTCGTCAGCAATACAGTCGAATAAATTTCTCTAAAAACTGTTGGAGTAACTACACAGTCAAGTGTTAACACCAAGGTCATTACCATATATATGGTGAACAGTCTTATCAATCCAGCATATGTCCCATCCATTTCCATTTCCTTCCCTATACTAGTTGGTCAACAAGTTTCTAATGCATTGTTACCAGAGTTCCTCATTGCTGATTTTCTCAGTAGCCAGGTGTTGATGAAAGTTTACAGTCTGTGATGCGTGTGTCAAGTTTGTGAAACACCGAGATATACACTCACTAACTTGACATTATTGTTGCACATCCGAATTATTGTTATTATTTCCCTTTAATTCCTAGAGGAACATAGGGCTTCAGCCGCGCGTCTCCATTGTGTTTGGTTCTCCGCCAACCTCTTCACCTGACTCCACGTCTGCCCACATGCCTTCATCTCCTCTCCCCATCGCCTCCTCCATGTCAACCCAACCTCGCACTGACAACCAACTCGCCGCTTCCCATTCGGGTTCCACTCGAGCGATGGCTTGTTTAGTGATGTCACTTGATGGTTTGTTTTCTCAGAGTATGACCAATCCACCTCCATTCCTTCCTGCTTATTTGTTGCACAATTGTTTCCTGCTGCTTCCCAGGTCGGTAGGTAAAGGAGGTTGTTTCTTTCAGGTTCTTCCCATTTATGCTGACTGTCGTATGTTGTTGTTGCTGTTGGCCAGGAATCTTCATCACCTCTGGTTCCGCTTTGTTCACTTGAAGTCCTATCTTTGATGCCTCTTCTGCCAGCTTGTTGCTTTTCACTTGCATATCTTCCAGTTTGTCGGAAATCAGACATATATCATCGGTGAAAGTCCAGATCCTCCAAGTCTTTTGTGTGAGTCCATTTTATGCCTGTTCCCTCGTTGGTTGCCGTTGTCTGTCGCATTATCCAATCTACTGCAATCAGGAAGATCATTGGTGATAGTAGGCAGCCTTGTCTCACTCCCGTCCTCACTTCGAAGGATTCTGTGAGTTTCCCGTTGTGGATTACTTGGCATGCAGCATTGTCGTATAACTGTTGGATGAGATGTATAATTGTCAGTGCCACCCCGTAGTAGTAGTTGCCAAATCACCTCTCGATAGACACTGTCGATCCAGATCTTGTCGATTATGTTCAATGAAGCAGATCTCCACACTGATTTCAGATTAATAAAGGTCTGGTTTGCTTTTCTGATCCTGGTAAGTTTTGACATCCTCATCCGTTTCGCCACCTCTAAGGAAAATGCTGCTGCCTAGACTAGCGAAAGAAGTGACCTCCTACAAATTTCTCTCATTGAATGATTGGAAATCAGGTATGTTCATCAATTTCGTCTTCTTTATGTTCCCTTAAAGTCTTGTCTTTGCCATTTCTGCTGCCAACTTCTTGGTTTTCGACTGTAGATGACCGAGTCTGTGTGACATTAGACATAAGTCGTCTGCGAAGTCCACATCTTCTATGGTCTTCTTGTAGGGCTAACGTTAACCCGCCTTCTCCACTCCCCCTTGGCTTGTCAAATGATGCAGTCCACCACCAGGAATATCATTAGTATTAGCAAGCAACCTTGTTTTACTGCTGTCTTCACTTCAAAGGCTTCGTTGAGTTCTCCACTGTGAATCACTTTGACGTATAGCAACATCAAATCGCTGGTGAATGTGTTGTTGAAACAGTTTCTCCACCCCCAGCCAAAAAAAACTTCCTCATCGAGGCTATCGAAGGCATCTTTTTTCTCTTCGAAATCGATAGTGTTGAAGTAGAGAGTTAACTGCAACTCAACGCTCTTTTCGATGATGATGATGATGATGATGATACGTACTGTTGCAATTCAGTCTATACGCCTGAAATTCAATCCAATCAAAGCACAGAAAACCAATAGTAATAAAAAGAGAATATATAGCTAGTTAATTACTGAAAGAATTAAAGCAAGCAAACTTACTCTGGATATTTGATCTCTTCAGTACCATCAGGATAGGTTGTTTGAACTGTTCCATCAGCTGCATAATGATATATCTATACATTTTAAAGTTAGAGTGAATATAAATTACAAAAGAAATTTAAGAGACATCTTACACTTAAACGAATTCAAATAAAACTTTACTCAATAAAAAGTCTATTGCAACCCTTGAACAACGAAAACTGTAGCATGCACCCCCCAACTCCCAATTAATGGCAACACTAGGCAACTCTTTAGACTCATCACAGAATCGGGTGGGAGAAGGCAATTCATAAGTGAGACTATTTCTGACTAATTAGCTCTCAGGATAGACGCCTTGAACGCTGGAAAGAACACTTTGAGGAACAATTTAACTTGCCTACAGCCACACTGAACCTCCCCGCCATCCACCACGTACCCGAATGGGATATAGACACTGGTCCGCCGTCTGTAGGTGAGGTTACAAAAGCTATCAGTAATTTGAAACGAGGCAAAGCGGCAGGACCCGACGGAATTATTCCGGAGGTGTTTAAATATGGGGGTGACATACTAGTTTGTAGATTAACTGAGGTACTAGGCAAAGTCTGGGAATCAGAGACAGTACCATCAGACTGGGGTAAGTCACTTATTATACCGATATTCAAGAAGGGAAACAAGTCCTCGTGTGATAATCATAGGGGGATCAGCCTAACGAACATAGTCTCTAAAATCCTAGGCTCAGTAATCATGCATAGACTAAGCAGAACTCGGGAGGAACAGACAAGGGAAAATCAAGCAGGCTTTAGACCAGGTAGAGGGTGCATAGATCATATCTTCACTCTTCGACAGATTCTAGAACATAGACACACTTTTCGGCGTCCAACAATTGTCATATTTCTTGACTTGAAGGCGGCCTTCGACTCCGTGGATCGAAAGGTACTATGGCAATGTCTGACTGTGAAGGGAGTGCCAAGAAAGTACATTGCACTAATCAAGGCACTCTATTCAAACTCACGTAGTCGTGTAAGGGCTTATGGGGAATTGTCATCTGAATTGGTAACAACCAGTGGTGTCCGACAGGGATGTCCACTTTCCCCATTTCTGTTTAACTTCATCATAGATATGCTAATGGAAGTATCCTTAACTGAACGTAGTGACTTAGGAATCGACTTGTTACCAGGGAATAATCTAATGGACTTAGAATATGCAGATGACATAGTCCTGTTAGGGGAGGATGCTGACAAAATGCAGAGTCTTCTGAACACCTTGAGCAGCAATCTTCGTATGTTTGGCATGCGATTCGCCCCTGCAAAATGTAAGATGCTGCTACAGGACTGGACCACGTCAACCCCTAACTTAGTGATAGGGAGTGAAGTGATAGAACATGTTGACCACTTCACCTACTTGGGAAGTTGTATTAGCACCAACGGACTGATTGGCGATGAAATCTCAGCACGGATCCGAAAAGCTCGAGCTGCTTTCGCTGACTTACACCATCTCTGGCGTAGGCGTGACATCCGGTTATCAACCAAGGGACGTGTGTACTGCTCATCAGTTCGCTCCGTCCTTCTCTATGGCTCTGAAACATGGCCAATACGCGTTGAAGACATGAAAAGGTTGACTGCTTTCGATCATAGATGTCTGCGATCTCTGTCTCACGTTAGGTGGTTTAACAAGGTAAGTAATGTTGACGTTAGGCGTAGAGTGTTGGGCAAAGAGGGAAAATCAATCGACGAGGCTATAAAGTTACATAGACTAAGATGGCTAGGTCACGTGCTGCGCATGCCTAACCACCGCCTCCCCCGACGGGCATTGCTAGCTGATATAGGTTCAGGTTGGAAAAGAGCCAGTGGTGGCCAAACAAAAACATGGCATCAATCCATGAAATCCTTGACAGTTAAACTGAGTCAGGTAGGGAGATGCAGACTCCCGGGTTGGGGCCCTCGGGACTCTAGGAATCAATGGCTGGAGACAATAGGTGACATGGCTCAAAATCGTTGTCAATGGCGCAGATGTATTCAGTCTCTGTAATCTTTCATATTCCTTTCTACCATTACCCATTCTGTTTCACTCTTATATTTGTCAAACTCTATTGATTCTCTTCACTCATCTTCTTGTCTACCTCTGTGTGCTATTTGGAAGGTGGCAACTCGAACTGCTGCACTTCGGTGCCAAGTTCTATGTTGAATCCAGACAGACAGACAGAATGTCTTCAAAAAATCATCATTATTACTAGGAATTACTTTCCATAGAATTTACCATTACTTTGCTCACTCTGATATCTACCAAATAAATGACGATGAAGGGTATAAAATAAACGAAAACAAAACGGAAGTAATTGAAAAGCAACTTACAGAGGCGTTAAAAAAAGAATGAAGAACAATCATCTGATTCGTGAAGAATTTTATGAAGGGATTATACTGACAAGATTTTTAATATCACATCTCTATCTCTTAAGATTTAGATATGATGGAGAAGATTTGTTTTTATTTATTTATTTATTTAAACGCATAAAAACTTGGTACAATATGGCACCAAGAAGGATGCGCCACACAATAATAATAAAACAACATACATCAAAAGTAAAAAAAATAAAAAAATATATAAGTAGAGAACGGACAAAGAATTTCATCTGGAAGGAGAACAGTCATGCTTAGCAAGTCCAAACAGTATTCGTTAACTATCATCGGAAAGGGAAGAAAGAGAAAAATTACAACACGTGTAATAGCACGCGATTAGTTTCATTGATTGTTTGTTGCTTCATTCAATTCAATGTGTGAGAGCTGAGATACTGCCCGGGCGCCCAGACCGAAGCAGGTGGTTTTATTAAAGGGACCACCCGCCGAGCCTTTGAATTGGAGTCTAATCCGCAAGGCAGTGGAGCAGCGTCAGGAGCTGCATTCCCATGGTTGACGGTGACCCATATGGGTTCATACGTCATTTGATCCGATTGGATACTGGAGTCCATGTACCCCATGGTAACTGCTTTTAGTTTAACCGCTATCCAAACAACCTTCCTGACATGGTAGGACCTGCAGGGACATGAGTCTCAGCCAGTTTAGCATGTTGGGTCATAACGGTATTCAAGCCCGACCAACACGACAAGGTAGCAGTTATCGGTCGGAGAGAAGATTTGTAGCTCAGGTGGATGATTTTGATGTAGTTGTGTTCTCTGAGACGGATAGTTAATTTGCAAAAAACACTACATTAGCCAAAGTGGATAATAATATTAATAATTTTTCCTTCACGTTCCCAGTGGAACATAGGGCTCCAAGCTAGTGGCTTGAAGTTTCTGTAGCAGTATTCATTTTTAATTTTACAGGATGGGGTTGCTAGCCTCATGCCAAACCTTTCCTCTTTACCAGCATTATTTCTGGCTCAGTGAGGTAAAGGAGTGCGCCGGCCGGGGAACGATCCCAGGACCATGTGCATGGTCGGCGAGCGTCCTAACCGCTATACCACCGACGCACAATTCACACCACGATACACCCATTGACTGGGTATTGGTTTTCAGGAGAACCAAACACACGCATCCTTGCCTCTTGCGATACGAGAACGGCATGCAGGATCAACCTGTGGCGCAACCACTCGAGAGCCCTCTCCCTCGGTGGACCAAGTGGCCAAAGTGAATGCCCCTTACATTTTCGTATCCATGATCATAAGTTAGCCATCAAAAGACATGACAACCACTCCCTACCCCATATTGCTGCATTCAGACAACCATGGACATCAATTCGACTGGGACAACGTTCAAATATTGGACAGAGGAAACAACAAGAATGCTAGAGAATTTTCAGAAGGCTGCCTGGTATTCCAGTGAATCATCAATCAACAGACACATATAGACAGACAAAATTTATCAACCGATAAGAAGAAAATCTCACACACAGAGGGTCAAAGTTCAAGTCAAAGAAACAATCAGTTCCAATACAAGCAGCCTGGAGGGTGTGAAAAGACACAAAAACCACCAATCACATACAAGGTCACCAGGAGAGATGACCAACAAACTCATGGAGAAATCTAAAATCTCACTTCAAATTGAAGTATGCACTGAAGATGTTGTCTAGTAGGGCAATGGAAGCTTAGCAAATTAACTTTTCAGCTCAGAGAACACAAACACATCAAAACTTTAGCGCCTATTGAAGTTGAACAAAGTTAGACTAATACTCTGTCCTATTCTGGATATGTTTGGATGCCCTCACCACTGAACAGCTTAGCGCCCAAGTGAAATCTTTGAACCAGTCAGGAGATAATTATCTTTTCATTCCCATAAATCGTATACAGGATATAAATACCACGAATAAAAATACGTTATCACTGGATACAGAATCCCTGTTTACTAATGTCTCAATGATACAATAGATAGTAATAGACTACTCGTGTTTTTGTTAATGAAATAGACAAAACAATTGGCGCACACTTACTACACGACCATCTGGTAATGTTCGTTTAATATCTCCATTGAATAAAGATACAACAGTTGTTATTGTATCAGGAAATATCTCCTTCACTGAACCATTAGCATAGGATACAATTACAGCACCATTTGAATAAGTTTGTTCAATCTTCAATTCACAAATAAATAAAACAAAATAATCAAATGAAATATTGAATATTTATCATCTAAATGAAAAAAAATTCTTCCGTTCTTTGTTTTGCACTTGCCTAACAGGTCTGTCAAACTGTGATGAGAGCTGTCTGCTAGCCAAAAATGGTAGACAGCAATTTTCGTCAATGGTCATGAGAAAAAACAAGAACAAAGTCTAACCTTGGGGAACCCAAAAACCAATCACAGCAGACCTAGCGTGGGTGGATACAATTCGCAGATATATCACCGGACTGTTTATGAAACAGCAGCATAGAGATGATAGAATAACCTTCAGCAGGAAAACAACCAATCAGAAGACGCTGTTTCTCTGATGATAATAATAACGAATAATAATGTACATAGAAATATATAAATATCTGTTGATTCTCTGAATTAACGATCTGTTGCTTGGTTCTTGTCTTGTCCTTACAAAACTAGGAAATATGAAACTGTTGGACAGATTTTTGTTGAAGGCTTAAGGAGTAAAACACTGTAGTATTTCAGTCTGAACGCACTATGAAACCAATCACGATGTATATGATCATCTGGATAGCTAACCAAACTTGATACGCGGTCCGAAACTGTATTCATCAAACAACACCAAAAAAAACGGTTTTGTTTGATAGAATTTGTAGTACCATTGAACAATAATCACTTATATAGGAAATATACAAGAGCCTAAATAATGCCATTCACTAGTTATACACAGTTCAAAAGTTTTTCAAGTGCGAAGTGGGATTAAAACTCTAACTACAAGAATCGAACAATTTCCTCACAGACATTTCAAAATCGATTGGTCACTCTTCACAGTATCACCCTGAATTTAGTCGAACAAAATCGCAGTCGTAAAACAACACCTTGCAATCAACGCTATCACATAACAAAGGAGAGAAGCATTAAAAAAAGGGACCACGTAAATATAAAGGCAGACAACAGGGTCTAATTCACAAAAGGATATGTCAGCGGTAGAACAATGATATATAGCTCAAGGGAAAAGGAAAACAATTCCAAAGTAAGTTGGAAAATCCAAATGGCTGTTAATATTGTCAACAGATTGTATATTTTTAATTAAATTTTGATTCTCCCATCGATTCACTGAACCCAAATGTTCGACCTCTGTTTACATGTCAGCTCCTTACGCGGATGCTTTGAAGATGTTTGAAAATTAACTTGAAGTAATTTCGTGAATGGTAACTGGCAGTAGAATTCAGGATGCACGTTTCGTCCGATTTGGGACTCATCGTCTGGATGGGGACACTATCAGACGCATTGGAAAATGCAGATACATTCAGATAACGAGTCCTAAATGGAGAGAAATGTCCATCCTGGATTACACTGAATTTATTGTCATCAGATTGTTCACGGAGGGATTTTCAGGTCGATTAATCTGCTAGAAAAGGTGTCTTCATAACATCTTTAAGGTATAGAAGTACCGAGATACGAAGACCAATTCAAGCTCATTATTATTATTATTATTATTACTGTATCCTTTAGTTCCTAGAGGAACATAGGGCTTCAGCTGCGCACCTCCATTGCCTTCGGTTTTCCGACAACTTTTTCACCCTGCTCCAGGTCTGTCCACATGCTTTCATCTCCTCCTCGCATGATCTCCTCCAAGTCACCCTTGGACGACCAACTCGCCGCCCCCCTTTCGGGTTCCATTCGAGGGCTTGTCTAGTGATGTCACTTGATGGTTTCCTCAGCGTATGGCCAATCCATCTCCATTTCTTTCTGCCTATTTGTTTCACAATCGGTTCCTGATTGGTTCGCTCCCAGAGATCCCTGTTGCTGATCTTTTCTGGCCATCTGATCTTGAGTATTGAGCGGAGACAGCTGTTAATGAAGGTTTGGAGTTTGTTTGAGATGCTCTTTATGACTCGCCAAGTCTCTGATCCGTATAGTAGCACTGACTTCACATTAGAGTTGAAAATCCGGATCTTATTTTTGATGCTGAGTGCTGTTGACCTCCACACAGATTTGAGAGTAATGAAAGCTTGTCTTGCTTTTCCGATTCTGGCTTTGATGTCCTCGTCAGTTCCGCCTGTAGTTGAGACGATGCTTCCCAGGTAGGTGAAGGAGGTTGTTTCTTTCAGGTTCTTCCCCCTTATGCTGATTGTTGTCTGTTGTTGTTGTTGCTGTTGATGTTGGCTAGGAATCTTCATCATCTCTGTTTTTTCTATGTTCACTTAAAGTCCTATCTTTGATGCCTCTTCTGCCAGCTTGTTGCTTTTCACTTGCATATCTTCCAGTTTGTCGGAAATCAGACATATATCATCGGCGAAATCCAGATCCTCCAAGTCTTTTGTGTGAGTCCATTTTATGCCTGTTCCCTCGTTGGTTGCCGTTGTCTGTCGCATTATCCAATCAATTGCAATCAGGAAGATCATTGGTGATAGTAGACAGCCTTGCCTCACTCCCGTCCTCACTTCAAAGGCTTCCGTAAGTTTCCCGTTGTGGATTACTTGGCATGCAGCATTGTCGTATAACTGTTGGATGAGATGTATAATTGTCGATGGGACCCCGTAGTAGCGAAGTAGTTTCCAAATGACCTCTCGATCGACGCTGTCGAAGGCCTTGTCAAAGTCGATGAAGTTGAGATAGAGAGGTGACTGCCATTCCAAGCTTTGTTCAATGATGATCCGTAGAGTGGCGATTTGATCAATACATGATTTGTTCCTCGTGAATCCGGCCTGTTCCGGACGAAGCTTTTCATCTAGGGCTTGTTTGATTCTCTCCAGGATGATGCGACTTAGTATCTTGCTTGGAATGGACAGAAGCATAATTCCACGCCAGTTTTTACATTGACTTAAGTCTCCTATCTCTGGAAGTTTGAATAAGTAACTGTTCTTCCAATCCTCGGGTACTTTGCCCTCTTTCCACACCTTCTCCAGCAGTGGCGTCATCAAGTCCACTGTTGTCTCTGGGTCTATTTTCAAAGCTTCTGCTGGGATTCCATCTGGATAATCTTTTGTTTTACTGT